AAGCATCAATTCTTTGGTGGTCCGCCTTCTTTATGGTCCAGCTCTCACTTCCATACATCACTACAGGAAAAACCATAGCTTTGACTATGCGGACCTTTGTCGGCAAGGTGATGTCTCTGCTTTTTAAGATACTGTCTAGGTTTGTCATCACTTTCCTCCCAAGAAGCAGGTGTCTTTTAATTTTGTGGCTACTGTCACCATCTGCAGTGATCATGGAGCGCAAGAAAGTAAAATCTGTCACTGCCTCCATATCCTCCCTTTCTATTTCCCAGGAGGTGATGGGACCAGTTTTTTTTGATGTTGAGTTTCAGACCGTTTTTTGCACTTTCCTCTTTCACTCTCATTACAAGGTTCTTTAATTCCTCCTCACTTTCTGCCATCAGAGTGGTATCATCTGCATATCTGAGGTTGTTGATATTTCTTCCGGCAATCTTAATTCCGGCTTGGGATTCATCCAGTCCAGCCTTCCGCATGATGTATTCTGCATACAAGTTAAATAAGCAGAGAGACAATATACAGTCTTGTACTCCTTTCCCAATTTTGAACCAGTTGTTCCATATCCAGTTCTAACTGTTGCTTCCTGTCGCGCATAGAGATTTTTCAGGAGATAGATAAGGTTGCCAGACACTCCCATTTCTTTAAGAACTTGCCATAGTTTGCTGTGGTCCACACAGTCAAAGGCTTTTGCATAGTCAATGAAGCAGAAGTAGATGTTTTTCTGGAACTCTCCGGCTTTCTCTATAATCCAGCGTATGTTAGCAATTTGGTCTTTGGTTCCTCTGCCCTTTCGGAATCCAGCTTGTACTTCTGGGAGTTCTCAGTCCACATACTTGTAGGATTTTGAGCATAACCTTGCTAGCATGTGAAATGAGTGCAATTGTACGGTAGTTGGACCATTCTTTGGCACTACCTTTCTTTGGGATTGGGACGTAGACTGATCTTTTCCAATCCTTTGGCCACTGCTGAGTTTTCCAAACTTGCTGGCATATTGATTGTAGCACCTTAACAGTGTCATCTTGTAAGCTTTTAAATAGTTCAACTGGAATTCCATCACCTCCACTAGCCTTGTTGTAAGCCATGCTTTCTAAGGCCCGCTTGACTTCACTCTCCTTGAGATAGCCTGGACCTAAGCCATTTAGGGCTTTGTAGGTTAAAATCAACACTTTAAATTGTGCCTAGAAATGGATCAGCTGCCAGTGGAGTTACTGTAACTGCGGGCTTACATGATCCATATAATCAACCACAGTTGACAATCTGGCTGCAGTATTTTGGATCTGCTGAAAAGAATATTTTGAGGATATGGAGAGCCTTTCCCAAGAATGCTTGTAAGATTGTCACTGTTACAAGGATAGTCATGCACGAAAATGCTCAGTACATTCTTAATGACCGAGTTTCCTTCTGTCTTTTTAAGAGTTGTTTCTAAATATCCCACACCTCATATTAATGTTCCTTGGCATTCAAAGTGCCTCTTGGGTTCTGCCTTAAAACTGTGACATTCCAAATTATCAGGACTGTACCTTGACTTCTAATCTTGATGCTACAGATCAAAGCATGTGTCTATAATGTACAGTACAAGGAATATCTATGGGTTTGTTGGTGTGGCAGGAGCTCGATATGTGAATTACACAGACTAACAGAACAGTTTAGCGATTCCCCTTCCCCTCCCCCAAATTTCTAGACAGCTTTGCAGGCCCTTTGTTTTAAGTTAAAACAGGCTTTTTTGGCCCTGTTTTTATCTGTTTATGGCCTTGCCCAGCATGGAATCCAGCCCTGCTCCCAGAATAACTCTGAAACCTGACACTGCTGTTCCTTGTTCAGTAAGTTGGCTAAACCAGGTTTCAGTGTGCTAGTCTTGTAGAGTTAAGTTGATTTCCCCATGAAGTGCTTATCATTGGGTTAGGGGATTTTCTAAGGAGACACAAGGTTCCCCGATTGCCCAGAATCTCACAGGACCAGCAGCACTGAAGACAGGATGGAACCCAGAGACAGAGCACTCCCTGGCCAGGGTCCCCAGATCAGCCTCTCTCTCCCTCTCCTCCCCACCCTCATTGTGTGACTTTTCTCACTGGGTTGATAGGCTTGGATGTTTGGTCTTCCGCAAAAAATGGTCCTGCTCTTCCAGCTCCCTGCCCAAACGGCACACAACGTGGTTCTCCAGCCTCGGGTGAGGTGGGGGGGGGCTCGGGGGTTAAAGTCAGTGCTCCAAACCTGTTGCTGGGCATTGTGCACTCATGTCCTGGTGCTGGTCAAGGCCTCCTCCTCCTCCACCTTTGGGCAAGCAGGGTTGGGGAACGAGGTTTCCAGGGCGATGGGTGTTTCGTGTGTGGAGCAGGGGATGCCCCCTGAATTTGGGGGAGTGAGGCAGCTCCTCTGCTTATTTCAAGAGCACCCACTACTTCATGCTCAGGCTCTCCGATATATCCTAATAGCTGGTCCCATCAGAGGGTGGGTAACTGTGGCAGCTGGCAGGCAAAGAGCCCTGGCGGAGAACTGATCTCTGTTCAGTTCCGTCAAGTTACTTCTGATTTCTGTCAATCTTATGGATCATTAACAGCACTGCCCAGCTCTTAGAATCAAAATTATGGCTTCCTTTATTGAGTCAATCCACCTCATATTTGGCCCTCCACCCCGCCCCCTGCTGCCTTAAACTTTGCCCGGCATTGTCTTTTCCAATGATGCCTGTCTTCCCATAAGGTGCTTAAAGTATGATATCTTCAGTCCAGTCCTTTTTGCTTCCAAAAAGGTTCGAGCTCAGGTTCGACTTCATGCAGGACTCACTTGTTTCTCTTTTGGGCAGTCCCAGCTATCCACAAAATTCTCCTCTAACATCGTTTCAAAACAATCAACTTTTTTCCTGTTGGCTTTCTTCACTGTCCTACCTTCTCAACCACGCATATTAAACAGGAGCCACAATATGACTGCTCTCGGTGTTCAGTGACACATCCTTGCACTTGAGCATCTTTTCGTGTCAAAACTGCACTTGTGAATCTCAGTCTTCTTCTGATTTTGTTTTTTCACTGAGGTATAGAAAACCTTTAATAATATTGATTTCTTCATTGTCAGTATTAACTGTAACAAATTCTGTGCAACTTTCTTCGCAAACAGATTTTTTTCAAGTCCTTGCTACTTTCTGCCCATAATATGGTGTCACTTGCATATTTTAAATTATTGTTTCTTCCAGACACAATCACCTCTTCTCCATCTGACCCAACCCCAACTTTCCATATGATATGAACTGCATACCAGTTGAACGGACTGGGAGCTGAAATATGGCCTTGTCTTTTTCAAAGAAGTCGCCCATGTTAGTTTGTGCTAAAGCCTATCCAGATAAGATTAAAAACAAAAAGAAAGTAGACTATTACAATTCCTTCTTTAGAAGCAGATGTATCTATGAAAGCTCACAATGAATCATAAAAATCAGGCTATTGTGCTTTGGCTTTTATTTCTGTCTTGCTACAGCTCTGCCTGTTTTCTGCTCCTCCATGTTCTGTCTTAACACAAGCCTCTTCTCTACATATTGCACATCAGGGCAATTAAATGCACACCCATTTCTTTGAAAATGCTCTGTAGCTTTTCAAGACTTACAAAATAAAGGCTTTGCTATAGCCTATAAAGCATAGAGTGGCCTTTTAAAATTCTTTGTATGCTCCAGGAACCCTACATCCAGGTCCTCCCCCAGCTCCAGCAAAAGGCTGAACACAACATTTTGCAGCTGGAAACTGTCACTGCCTTTTGTTTAAGTTTTTAATAAACAATTAGGTAAAGCCTGTCTGTTCCACACACACACTCCGTTTCTCCAACTACACATTTATTAGTTTCCAACTCCTTTGCAAATTTATTTTCAAATGCATACTAGAAAAACTCTGGCAAGATCTCTAGCGCTGCTTCCTTTTCTGCCTACAGGTTAAACATCTGGCGTTTCTCCCTCCACAGTTCTTAAAAGTCTTTGTTGCAGCGCCGCTGCTCCCATCCGGTGGGCTTAGCCGCCCCAGGAGTCCTCCCTCCCTTTCCCGGGCAGAGGCAGACCCCAGCTTGGAAACGGAGGCGGCGATGGGTACCCAGTCAGGCTGTGTTTTGCTTCATTTCCCGCAGACGGGGAGGGAGAATGAGCAGCGCTTCGATGAAGACCGGAGGAGGAGATAGGGCTACTTTATTTATATATTTATTTAATATACCGATGCACTTTTGTGGGCAGTTTACAAACAGTTAAAGTACAGCGTGAAGGCGGCGGCAGGAGGGGAACGCCTTGGGGCCGAATGTGCGGGTACCGGCCTGGAATCCGGCCCTTTAGCAAGAGGTGCATCCGGACCGTGGGCGAGGAATCCCGTGGGCGGAGGGCCCCTCCGCAGGCCTGCCCGTAAGAGAGAGGGGGGGCACCTTTCCGACGACTAGCCTCGCTCTCGCGATTCGAGATAAGAAGAGCTCTCCGTCCCGACCTGAGAGGCCAATTGATTCCCGCGAGGGCTTCTCCCGAGATGTTTCGGTCGCGTCCTCTCCGTCTCCCAAACACGGCCCCGGTCCCGTCCCCGCGACTGGCGGGTCTCGTCTGCGGGCTCTCCGCGGCCGCACCTGCCGTCGGGCACCCCGGCCCACGTTGGGAGGGCGGTTCCAGGCGTTGCCACGATGATCGCGCGACGA